TGCAGAAACCACAGGTGGGGAAAGCTATCAAGGGCCGCCAGCACTTCGTGCTGCTTCAGCTCCTCTCCCCTGCCACGACCACAGAGAGCCTGGTGTGTGCGGGTGAGACGATGCTGGAGAGCATCTGCACAGCTGCGCCTGGCTCCCCGGCTACAGAGGGAGCTGGCAGCAGAGCCGGTGTCTGAGGCAAAACCAAGCAAACATTTCCCTGCTGAGTTGGACTTTATACTCTGTCAGAATGATGGACAGACTCAGAGATGGCTTTAACTGTGACAGCACTGCAGTAAAATATAGGTATCCACAGTAAGAGTAATCTTGGAAGTTAGACGTCCCAGTCGCTACCCTGTCTAACACCGTGACGTTCAATACCAGTGATACTCTTTAAACGTGACTCACTCTAACAGAGAAACAACAACCGGCAAAACCCCAACATTAGTTCCATGCTTAGCAGGAAAATTAAATACTGAAGAGGTCTTACCTGCGTTTCAGACAGCCAAGTGTTTCAGCTGGAAATGAGCACAGCCGACTGAGGGAAGCAAGTAAAGGCATACCTGTGCGCTTCAGCTGGAGAAGACAGCACGTCCCCCGAGGCACCGAGGCGTAGGTGAGAATGAGACCCAGCCTGCAACCTGCCAGAGGCTTGATTTGTGAACTCTTTCTGCTGGAGCTTCTGGCATCAGCAAATATGTGCAGTGAAAGAAAGTTGTGACAGGTTAAGTTCACAGCAGAAAAAGTTCATGCAGCTGAAAAGAGAAGGCTGGGATTCTTAAAGTGCTGGCAAACAACTTTTTAATTGTTGTTTAACTAAACAGCTGTTCAGCTGGTCCGGTTTGCAACCAAACATCCAAGTCTTTACAGCTACTTAACATCAGAAGTCTAGTGGCACTGGTTTATCTGAACATGGGCTAGGAAGGATGACTCCTCATGGTAGGTGTGCAGAAGGCCTGATTTGGGGTTTTGAGGTGACTGTAAACATGCCTACCTGAAAGCTGTGATTGCACCCGTGCAGACGTACGCAGCCAGCTTCAAATTAGCTCAAGCTCTGGACGACTGCTGTGAGCACTAGGGTTTTTTTCAACTTAAAGCTAAAGACAACATGGCAGCTGAAGTCACAGCTTTGCGTTTCAGCACAGCTTTGCCTGTAGCTGCCCACAGTGGCAAGCACAGGGCAGGGCGCTGTGCGGCATACGGCGCGGTCGTGGGAAAGGCAGTGATGGAGCAGCTCCGACATGGCGTTCGCCAGCTCATGCACAGAACTGGCCACTGTTTTATGGTGTCTTTGTTGAAACCTGTGGCACTTTGATTCCAATTTTAAGAATGGCAGGTGGTCTTGGGTACGCATTTTCAGTTGTGATATATTTGCTATCAGTTCTCCTCTGACTGCTTGTAAGGCTTAATTCATGATTGTAAAGTATCATCACATCCTCAAACAGAATGTTTTCTATATGTGCAAAATACTTTTTATAAACTATTCATCACTTTTCTTTTGGTAGTTCCTATTCTTTCATGAAAAAAAAGATACCTGTTCTTTAATCCTATTGCAATGCTCAGTACTGAGTGTCCTCTGCCATTAACATGATTGCTCACTCTAGTAGAAATAATTCATACACTTACGATGTTTGAAATTATTTTCCTCAAGTGCATGTGCAAATTACTTGTGGGAGACTTTTTTCAGGCTAATTCAATCTGCATTTGGTTTGTATTCATGCATGATTAATTATTGTACAGATGGTTTCTATTTAGTGGGTTTCAATATTAAGAAATAATAGACTAAATGATATATTAAGATATTTACTTTCTATGTGTAAGCAGTATGTCAAGTGCTCTCTGAAAGAGTGACATATAACTGAAGAAAGTGTTATTATTATGATGCTACTAAATTGCAGAATGGTTGATGTTTTATTAGCATATTTGGTAGGGAATTCAGATTCTGTTACAGAGAAGTTATGTGAGAAGTAAATATCAAGGAAGATTTATTTGCAGAATATAGCCGGTCCTGTGTTTTGATTTATGTAGGACCCCAAGCAAGACGGAGGTTTTAAACCGCTTGAGGCAGGGATTAAAACTTCTTTCTTGCTTCTTTAATCACTCCACTGGTAAAGGATCTGGATTTATAATGCATCACTCGTCCCGTGCTGGCTGGCGGGTGGATAGCATCGGTGCATGATTTTTCAAGTCATCACACGTCCTACGGTTGTCATTTCTTAGGCCCAAGGCATATCTGTAATACACACAAAGGACAGGAATTGCTAGCACTCTGGCATATATTCTGTCCGCAGACACCAACCAGTGAGGGAGAGGGCAGGAGTAGAGGCACCAGCCACATTTCAGAGCCCGGCCCCAGGACACCAGCTGATGGGCAGTTGGCACCAGCCCAAAGAGATACACATTTTCCTCCGATGGACATTCTGAACAAAAATGTCTCTTTGGCTATACAGACTTTTTTTCCCCTGGAATGAAAATGTGAAAAACATCAGAAAAAAATTTTTAAAAATTCCCGGTTTTCTTTAGAGTTTCAGTGAGAAAATTATTTGAGCCTGGGATTATTCGCACCATGTTGAAAGTACGTATTTAATCTAAACAAATCACCTGGGCTTCCTTTAGAGTCAATGGAGGAAGACAGGGATCCCTACAGCGTGCACCCTACCATGTTCTTTAGATACCTACCTTAAAGGGATACAGCTGGGGGAAGAAGAAGGAAGGGGAGGACATTTGGGGTGATGGCGTTTGTCTTCCCAAGTCACCGTTAGGTGTGATGGAGCCCTGCTTTCCTGGAGATGGCTGAACCCCTGCCTGCCCATGGGAAGTGGTGAATGAATTCCTTGTTTTGCTTTGTTTGCAGGCACAGCTTTTGCTTTACCTATTAAACTGTCTTCATGTCAACCCACGAGTTTTCTTATCTTTACTCTTCCGCTTCTCTCCCCCATCCCATGGCGGGGAGTGAGCGAGCGGCTGTGTGGGGCTTAGCTGTCGGCTGGGGTTAAACCACGACAGTATCTTATGCTTAAAGTGTAATTTCTCAAAGGCAAAGACTGTGCATTTTTTGGCTTTCTACACATTGGGAGAATGTAGCACTGAATAATAAAACCAGGATGAAGTATAAGCTCACAATAAAATAAGAGAAGTATTTTGGCAGATCTGATCAGGAGAGAGCTAAGGACAGCAGAAGAATATGCTGCGGAGCTCAGGGGCAGGGGGAGAGGGAGGCCACCCCGTCCCCCAGCCTCTTCACCTCCGCGTCCCACCAGCTGGCTGCTCCTCCATATCTTGCACCCTGGATCAAACAGCTACTTTTAAAATTGTATTTAATAATTGTTTAAACAAGCTTTTCCACATTTCAAAAGGATGTAAAGTCTATTTATAATTTATGAGAAGCTTCTTAATTTTCTAACAGTCACAGCACTCCATGGTGCCCTTCACCTTTTGTGTGCAAGCCAGATATTTGAAGTCTTTATTTCTTTCACTACAAACAAGAAATCCAGTTTCAGCTTGAATATTATCTCCCTGGCAGGCACAGCATTTCTGATTGTCGTAATCACCACTAAAGAGAAAAAAGACAGAGAGGATGATGAACTGCATTGTTTTAAAATATCAGTGTGATTTTCAAACTGCTATTCAAGACATATATGTTCAAGATACAACGTTTTATGTTATTTCCAAGGTCCTGACACTTCCAAGCTGGCACTGGAACTGGCAGGATGAGAAGTCTGGCACATACCTTGCTGCGATCTCATGTTAGTTTATTCAGAATCGGTGAGTTCATGCAGTTACAACTGGACAAGGCTGTTTCTAGGAACCTTCTCACATCTATAAACAAAAGTGCTTGAAATCTTTCACTTTTCATTGCTTATTAGCCTATTAATCAGAAATAATGATCCTCCCTAAATTCACAAGAAAAATGGATT